TGAACTGTTCGTGATCTCTAACAGGAGCCTGTGATACCTGTTGTCCAGGGCTGTGGTTAGCCAGAGCAGAGTAGGATTGACAGCTACCTTTCTTGATAAGTACATCACAAGACCCAGAAAATGTCCTATCTCTGCCACTGCAATACAGGAGAGCACAGTTAGGAGTTAGCTTTTTAAATAAATAATCTTGGATTCCTCTATTTCACCTGGCCAAACAAAACAAACACATATTTAAACAAATCTCTTTGCCTGTCTTCTCCCCTTCCCTCTCCTCCCTTGCAGGATCAGGCATCTATTCCAGCTGCTTTCAGTGTCTCTCAGCACTTACTAATCCTACATGGTATTTCATGGGTGAGGGGGAATGTCTCTTTCCTTACATCACCTCCGAAGTTTGTCTCTGGGTCTGTCCCCTGCCACAGGCAACCCCCCAGATCCTCTCAGGACTATCCCAGGTCACACTTGTCCCCTATGGTCCCCCTCACACCTGTCTCTTGGTTTCCTCTCCCTGCCTGTATGAGGGTTTGTGCTTACTTCCCTTTGGAGGGCAGCTGCTGGGGTAAGAGGGAAGGCGGGTAGCCCACCTTTCTGCTCTCCTCTTCTTTCCTGTCTCTTTTTTGGCACAAAACATGACTTGATCGATGTGGGTTGATCTTGGCTGGCTGCCAGGCACCCACCCAGCTGCTCTCGCGCTCCCTCTCCTCAATGGGACAGGGGGGGAAAATAAGGCGGAAGCGCTCATGGGTTGAGATAAAGACAGGGAGATCGCTCGCTGGTTACTGTCACGGGCAAAACAAACTTGGGGAAAATTAATGTAATTTCTTGCCAATTAAAAGTAGGTTAGGATGGTAAGAACCAACTCGTCCGTCCCCTTTTTCCTGGGCTCAACTTCACTCCTTCCTTCAGGGAGTGGGGAATGGGAGCTGTGGTCAGTCTATAACAGTTCTTTCCTCCTCATGCTGTTTCCCTGTTCCACCATGGTCCCTCTTCAGGTGAAGGGGAATCTCCCCTCCACCATGGAGCAGCACCTCCTCCCCTCCTTCTTCCCTCACCCTGGTGTCTGCCAGGCTGTTTCTCACACTTTCTTCCTCCCTCTGCCTGTGTGGCATTTTTTTTTTTTTTCTGTTACTTAAACCTATTTTCCCTGAGGTGCCGCCATCTTTTCCAAGGGGCTCAGCCATGCCTTGGGGTGGGTCGGTTGGAGCCGGCTGGAATGGCTGTGTCCGGCGCGGGGCAGCCCCGGCCTCTCCTCACAAAAGCCATCATGCAGCCCCCCGCTGGCAGAACCTGGGCACCTACACCCCATGCAGTGTCTTCAAAAAAACTATGATCCCATTAATACCTGCACCCTGTGTATTCCATACGCCATGGGTACCATAAGCTGTGGACAGACAAAACAATCCTGCAATACTGGATCTTCGGCTGTTCATAAGACTTGAGGCCATGTGACTTTCCCAAAAAATCTGCCTAAGGGTACCCAACATCAGTTGCCAGAAAGTTAGTGGCCTGTGTGGTGTTACATGCAGCAGTTTTGCCATGTGTAACGTGGAGGGAAGGCTCCTTCAGAGGCTGACACTGGTGTCGAATTGAGTCAGAAATTTGTACAACTGAGCGGTTTTTGACCCTTAACTTTTAGTTAACTGGAGTGACATGGATGCCAAACTCGTATCTCATGACGGACAGTTGAAATCAAAAATTGCTACCTACTGAAATTTTGCTGTAAAATCTGCTCTTAAGTGTGCTGTATTGTACAAAGCAGTCATAGCGCTTACTTTTTGCTTTCTGAAGACAGCCAGACTACTGATCAGGGAGTTTAGTGATAGGACGAGGGGGAATGATTTTAAACTGAAAGAGGGTAGATTTAGACTAGATATTAGGAAGAAATTTTTCACTATAAGCGTGGTGAGACACTGGAACAAGTTGCCCAGGGAAGTTGTGGATGGCCCATCCCTGGAGGTGTTCAAGGCCAGGTTGGATGGGGCTTTGAGCAACCTGGTCTAGTGGGAAGTATCCCTGCCCATGGCAGGGGGGTTGGAACTAGGTGATCTTTGAGGTCCATTCCAACCTAAACCGTTCTATGAATAAGTAACTTAAGGGTAAACTGAGTTTTTGATGACTGTTATATGTGCGGTTTTATTTCAGGTCATCCGGATGGGTTGATGTAGCCGGTGTGTGCTGGCACACCTGCATGCCGCGGGAAATGCTTATGCCTGGATGTACATGCGTCAGCGTATCCATCACCGGGTCCGGGACACTCGGCACGAGCGGTGCCATCCGGCCCGAGCGAGCGGATGTGTTGTGCACCCTGATGTTGTTCTGGGATGAGATTAATTTCAGCACACTCTCATTAATCCATTATATGTCTCTTTCCAGCACAAATGGACCCCCGAGGCCTATCTCCCAGACAAATTAAAAGTGACAGTGATGATGACGACCTGCCAAATGTGACCTTAGATAGCGTTAATGAAACTGGATCTACAGCACTCTCCATAGCCAGAGCAGTACAAGAGTAAGTATCACATTCCCAGAGCGAGATGAGTGTTGCCGAGGTGCCCCCGGGCCGATGGAGGCACTGGCCTTCGGCGGCAGCACAGGGGTGTCCCCCCAGCTGCGGGCCGGCGTACCTGACAGCATCTCTGCTGTGTAGCTTCGTTCCCTTTAGGAAGAAAGAGATGGCTGTATCTCTCGTCTCTCTCCGGTTCTCTTTTCCTTTCTTTCTCTCTGCTCTCATCATTAGGTAAAGTTTCAAATCGAAATTGTTCTTTCCCCTTTACTTACTTGCAAAGCTTGCGGTGTTTTTATATCCTCTCCAAATGGAGACCAGGTTAGGCTTTCACTCAATTTTTTCTTGACTTGCTGTCAAATAGGAACTACCTACATTTCTCCTGAAGGACAGTGTCATTGAGAGGAAATTAGTGAGGGGCTTTGAACAATATTTCCATTGCTGTTATTTACCTGTGTACTTTTACTCACTGAATGGACAAGTAATTTCTTAATTTTATATCTGTATTGCTTATTTTAAAAAAAGGAAAAGTTTGTCACGAGCATTAGCAATTCTGTAGATGCATGAGCTTGCTCAGTCACTGTAGCAGCTGGAAGGGAACCAACTGTGAGGTAAATAAGTATTAATATCCCCATTTTATAGGTGAGGAAAATGAGGTTATGCGTAAAGGTCACCCTGTAGGTCTGAAGCAGAGCTGGAAATAGAACTAGAGCCTCCAGGCACTGAAGCCTGTGCTAGACCCACAAAACACATTACTTTATCTGAGAGGTTCAAAATGTGGGCATTCTGTATGTTATTAAATGGGAAGGGATATAATAAAGGCCATTAGATGTTGTTATTATATAATTTATTATAGATGTGTTTTAAATGTCTTATCTAAAAGTACTTAGTTTTACTTTGTTTTCCTGGCCATCAATAGCCAAAGGCGCTGATGTCCTATTTGCTTAGAGGAAACCAAGCGGTGTTTGAGGGGGAACTACTCTTTTTTTGGTTTTCACCAGACATCCACTAATTCATTTTGTAGTCAAGCGGAGTAACCTCAAACCTGTACTCCTCTTAAGCAGAGAGGAAGGGCAAGGCAAGATGTTGACTCTCATTGTAACTAGCATGCTGCCCTTCTGACGGTGATAGAGGAAGGGAAGGTTTTTTCACCAGTGACACTATTGCTTGAGAGGCAGGCCCTACGCATATTTTGAATTTGCTAGTTACAACACCAGGCCCTGAAGTGCTAAGTACTTTTTTCTCAGTTTATAGCACACATAATAAGCCAGAAATATAAAGCAACCTGTCATTATTTTGCACTAAATGGTTCTGTCTAATTAATGAAAAGAGGAAGCACGGGGTGCTAGCAAATACTTCTAACATACAACTGGCAGGCAGATACTATTCTTTGTGATTGATATTGCTTGAACATTTAGAGATTTGGTCAAATCATGAAAAGCTTTTTTAGCTTTTCCGCAATGCATTCCACGGTTTGTGAAGGTAAATGTGTTGAATATTACTTGGCTGGCTCTGGAGCTTAAGAATTAAATTAAGAAATTTAATAATATAACATCAACTCATTCTTGTTCCAGGTTTTATTTAAACAGTAATCTGTTAGTTTATTTCAAAAGCTCCATTAGGAAAATCTAATTTGACTGTGATCTGCAATTTGTCGTCTTCTTTACTTCATTCTCAGTCGCAGACACCACACATACAGCTGTTGAGCTGAAAAGAGGCATTAGCATGTTATACCGACTGCACTCAATCCATTTCTTTCTTAGTCTGTAATAAGTACCTTACAGGCAGGCTCTATTCTTAATTTAGGCATCTAACGTGTATCTTAATATTAGACGTTCAGCAAAGCAGTCCACCAAAAATAAAAGCCCGCTTTCTACATACCCTCATTGCAGAGAGGAAAGTGCCTTTGAAGCCTTCCAAAGGGAGATCCTGTGTGCTCAATTTCAGCATCTAAACTTAGCAGACAGGAATTTCCTCTGAGGACGTGGAAAGGCACCTACTGTTCTGCTGCATAATTGGACAGTCTAGGGGCATGTACAGAAAGACTGCTTCAGTAGGCAGTAAAACTTAGGTCTAAGCTAAGTGAAGCAAGGTAGGCTGGACCTCAGAGTCTAGAAGACCATCCCACAGAGCATGTTTTTTCCTAAGTGAGCTTGTAAGCTCTTTCTTGTGAATACTTCTGCAGTTAAGAACAAAAAATAACTTCTTACTGAGAGCCTTCTCTTCCTGTGGGACACTGGCTGGGAAGTACAGCATGGCACCTCCAAAGGGACGGCAGCATCCTTTCCTTCAATACCAGGTTGCTGTTGTGCAATCTTGGCTTTGTTAAACAAAATACCAACCAAGTCTAGTTTGTAGATGCTGGTGGCAGGTGCGAGACAGCAGTTGACTTTTTCCTGGTTGGTTTTCAGACATGTTTTAAATTATCCTGCATAAGGATTATAAATATATATATGTATGTATATATATTTGCCTGTTGCTGCCTATTCTCCAGGAGCAGAAAGGGATTTCAAACACACTTTGCGGGGGTATTTGCTTTGGGTCAGTCCTGTGCAGCCCCTCACGCAATGTGTGGGGCTGTGGGGGATTGCCTTAGTGAGGCTCCTGACTTTCCATGTGTGCTGTCTGCGGGGTTCAGGATTCATCTTGCCTAGTTAGACACCTACGATGTAGGTATCTGCATCCGAGCTAGTTATCTCACCTCCCTGCATATGCACCAGATAGCAGTTGGCATGTCCAGGCAGTAATTCTTTTGACCTATTCTAGCTGTCTAATTTAGGGAGAGAGAGTGAGTCAAGCCCATGGCCGCCCGTTCCTCTCCATTGACTGCAGGCGGTGCAGACAGCTGCCTGGGACACACGTGTCAGCACTGCAGATCTCTGGTGTGAGGTGAGGGTAAGGCAATCCGCGGCGCCTGACTGGGGAGTCAGCGTGCCAGAAGCTGGGAGTGACAGGACGATACTGAACGCTCCAGCATCTTCCCTTGGATCTAAATCTGCCAGGTGGGGTTAGCAATGCCAAGGTTTTAACCACGAGCTGAAGGAAATCACCTAGTCAGTGTTTGGGGAGGGACTGTTGTTTTAATAAGCCGTTTTCAAGTTTGTTGTCTTGGAAATTACTCTTATGTGGCTGGGTCACAGGACAATTTGGAATGGCTATGTGAAAGCTTTGCTTTTCATGTCCTCTAAAACTGGAAGGCATCTGCCTGTGTTGCTGCTTTGTTTCAGGTCCACTATAGTCTTACAAGAAAAAAATTCTTACCAGTAAAAATTGTGACAATCAGACACTAAGAGCCACGTGTTTGGCATTAGTTCTTATTTACTTAAACAGAATGTAATTTGCTAGCATATTTGTAAAATAACCAAGTATGACTATTTTTTCTCAGAGAAATTGCACTCTTGCTGCTTGCTTTATATTGGCTGAGCGTCCACATTTCTCAGTAGTTCTTTTGGAATGACTTCATAGTCCTTCTTCAGTTCAGCAAACCCAATCAATAATGTAAAGTTATAGATAAACAAAGTCATTATTTCAAGCAGGGTACTTTGGTGAAATTTCTTTATGTGACAGTGCTACTTTATGGCGGTTGCTATGCCTTACCATATTATGGACTAAGAATAATTTATTAATCTCGGATAATATGCTCTGGCTGATAATAAATATTGCAGCAATATGTAGATTTCAGTGGGCTTTGCATTGTAAGCAGCATTTCATCCTTTTTGTAGCGTGTTTTACAAACTCATTTTGACATGTAGCTCTCTAACAAAGAGCAGATATGCTTCTGTACGCCTGACACCGCTGATGCTTATTACACAGCAAGAATAGCATCATATATTCAGGGTCAAATCTCAGATACGCTCTAGAAATCTTTATGAAGCCAAGGGAAGAGAAGGCATTAGTCAAGTCCTGGAAGACCAGTAAAACTTTTTAAGGGCCCCCATTGGAGGCAGCGTGCTGTTCCCTCAACCTGGCAGCCCCTCCATCCCTAGGTAGCCCTGATGCAGTGGGGCTCAGGAGCCATCTCCATGGTACGTAGTAATGCAAACCCTGAACAGGGCATTCATCTCCTCCTTTCCCTGCACCTCTGTGCAGTAAAATACATTCTTTTACGGCATGCAGCTGTCTCTGCACACACACTACAAAACATCTCCTACTTGCAGAGGCTGAGGGCAGAAGTGGGAGAGGCAGAGGGGGATTTTTTGCATGAACTTTTGATCAGTGTGTCAGTAAAAATCCAAAGATCCAGAAATTCCCCTTTCCCTCTCTAGACTCTTTTCTCCTTAAGGGGTTGTAGGCAGAGGGAACCCCTTTGACGAAACCATTCTTTCAAATAATGTCAAGGAGAAGATGCACTATGCATATAAACTGATGATACTTAAGGTAGCTTCTTGTTTTTCTAAGTTGAGGAGAAACAGAAAATTCAAAGAGGAAATCCTGAATACTTGTAGTTACAGCTGCAGTTAATTCATAGAAATGTGATTTGTCATCTGGATGTGGCCCTGGTGACCTTTAGTGTGAACTCTTCTTTGCGCTGAGCTAGGTGCCGCTTGTATGGAAATGAGATTAGGGGCTCTGACCTTACCCCCTGTTCTCTTTGGCTGTGTTATGTTGTTGATACATTGATACTAATGTGATCATCTTACTTTATTTTTAAATTCTGCTGGCTTTTATTATTGCAGTACAGTGGAAGATAGTTTCGAATACTGCGCTAGCAAAGAAGAAATTCCACAAGAGACAGACTGTATAGCCACAGTACAAATGTACTCTCTTGAATTGGTATTTATTTTTCAAGCCTGAATTTTTCTGCCTAGTTCTCGTTTTTTTCTCCCTCCTCTTCTTCAACATAAATCAACTTCTGTGGTTGATTTTTATCTCTTTTGAGGTTTATAATTGTGTTCCCATCAGCCATTCATTTTCTACACTGATATTTTCCTGCTTCATCTGCAATCATTATTACTATTGTGCTATTCATTATAGGAAACTTTCACCTCAGTTTTTTCTTCTAGTTA